CACGAAAATACAAANAAGGGACGAGTACGCAAAAAAAAAAAAAAAAAAAAAAGAAAATTTCATGTGCAGTCGCAGGCAAATTTGAGAACGCCGCTCTTCCTCCCTGTTTTTTTTTCTTTTTACCCCTTGCAAATATGTATACATCAAGGCCGCCTCTCCTCGTATTCGTTGCATTCAGAAGCGTTTGGGTCTCTTTGTGGGGGTTACCATGGCTCGCGCAGCGCGTCTAAATGCGGGCGGCAACGTCGGCACTGCCGCCCTTCCGCGTGCCGCAGGAGGAAACTGCACAACGGGCTTCGGCAACGTTGGAACTACACCTAGAAGCATCACTCGTTCCGTCCCGCGGCTGTCACGCAGCAAACAGGAACGGGTGACTAGCTCCGCATCAGGCTTTACGTGACGCACGGTTGGCCTCTTGTGCAACGGGCGCGGCGATCCCCACGTTTTCTGGCCGGGATTCCCACCCATGACACCAGGTGGGCCAAGCCCCGACAGAGAATCAATTTCGGTGCCGCCCTCCGGATCCCCACGCCTATCCGCGGAGTGACGATCGCTGGATCTGTTGATGCTCAAGGAAGGTTGATAGGAGACTGGACTCTTTTCCCAAACGCGCCGTTGCAGGGACTCCATGACACGGTCGAGTCCCCGACTGGCAGAATCAGACAGCGCTGACGCCCATTCGCGCGGACGCGCGTTTTCCACCTCTTTTTGCCTGGATAGGGGCGACGATAGTAGTGGCTGGCTGTCGTATTCTCGAGGGTCGTGCTGCTTCGGCCGAGATGCATCTTGCGACGAGGCAGCCGGCGTTGGTGAAAAAGGCACCAGCGTCTCGAAATCTGGGCCGCCCATCAATGGCAATTGCTGTTGAGCACTGCGCCACGGCGCGAAAGAGGAGCCGGCGCTCTGAGACTCATCAGGCGGAACTTGGAAGTGCAGCTTTGGCCTCCAAACGCCCACCTCGCTGCTGTACCCGGCGCTCACGGTGAGTTCGCCCGCCCTCCCCTGCGCGGGGAGAGCGCCGGGGATCGGCGGCATCGCCTTCGCCTTCGCCCCAGAAGCATCGTCGGGGTGGTGGTCCTCCTTGCCGGGGCTAGGTGTCCGTCTGTGGCGCCGCCGTCTCGATCCGCTGCAGCGTCTCCGCCGAGGGCTCCGGCTCTTCCTTCTCACGGAGCTACTGACGGAAGTTCCACGTGGCGGGGAGTTGGACGGGGTACGTCCAACCGACGATGGCGGCGGCGTCGCTGAAGGCACCGGGTTCGTGATGAGGTACGAGCCTTTGTATAGCAACATGTTGTCACGCCGCTCCACCTTCCGGCGCTGGTGTGCCTTCAGCAGTTCGCTGACATCCACGCAAATTATCCCCAAGTGGTTTTGCCGACTCATTTCTCGCTTACGTTTTGTCTCCTAAAGAAGTCTCTTCTATTCTATTGTGTCCCTCCCCCCGCTTGCCCTTTCCCCAGTCGCTTGCTCAGTGCGGGTCACGGTGCCAATGGACAACCGCGACCGGAGAGCTGCAGACACGTGCAAGCACGTATATACGTATGAGTGAAAAAAGAAGAAGAAAAGATGGCAATTAAAATAAAAAAAAAGTGAATTGCACCATCAACAGCAGTGGCTCTGTCTCGCCCTCTTTTCTCTCAGGTTCCCTTACCTCAGTAGAATCTCTTCTAGCGGCAAATGAGGGGACAAACTGTACATGTCATTTCTTTCGCAGCACCTCCTCCCTCTCCCCCTTTCTCACACCTTGCAGGGCACAGGGAGAGAGAGAGAGAGAGGGAGCGAGGAAAAAAAAAACGAGAAACAGAGACATGGAGGTATTCACTCAGACTCAGCTTGGCGCAAGAAATTGTTCCCGGAAAAGTGGCGGGATATTCACTGCCTGACAGCGCCTCTCCAACTCAACCAGTGTCGCGTTGAACTCCCTCTCCCCCTTCTTCAGTTCAAAGTGAAGATCCTTGATCATCTGATTCTTCTCACTTAAAGTGCGATCCACCTCGGACGCAATGAGCTCCAAGGCCGTGGGCTCCAGATTCATCGCCCGAAGCACCCCATCAAGCTGTGCGTCCCGCTCCTCCACAAGTGCGTGGGACTCGATCAATTTCTGCTGCAGCACCTCATTGCGCTCCTCCACAACCTCCATTGCCTTTCGCAGCGCGGACTCAAACTTCGCCTTGAGCTCCTCCCGCTCCTCGTGGACGGTGGCGTAGCGCTCCTCGAGGGCCTTGTGCTCCTTGCGCAGGCGCCAAATTTCCTCCCGCAGCGAGCGAAGCTTTGCCCGGGTCGTGCCAAGACTGCGTTTGTCCTGCTCGTACTGCCTTCGCTTCTGCTGCAGCTCTGCCACCTCCCGCTGCGCCTCTTCCAGCGGGGCCACTAAGTTCTGATTCTCACGATCAATATCGTACATGAGCGTCTCGTTATGTTCGTCGTTTTTCTTCATTTGAGCAATCTCCTCCTTGAGGGACTGAATGATCTCCAGGTTGTTGGTCGTGATTTGGTTGTAGTACTCCTTCATCTCGTGAAACTTTGTCTCGTGTTGCTTGATCAGGGCATTGATGTGCTCATTCTTGCGCTCCTCGATCTCGTGAATCTCGGCCCGGCGCCGCAGCTCCAATTCGTCCCGCAAGGCCTTCAGCTTCGCTTCGTAGGCCGCCTGCTGGCGCGCTAGATCCTTCTCGTGCTTCTGCTTCTTCGTGACGGTCAACATGTAGTTGTGGGAGTCACGTTGCTCCTCGATCTTCACTTCGTGACCCTCCGCCGCCGCCTCAAACTCGCGGCCGCGCTGCTGCAGCTGGGCGTGGATGTCATTCATGCGCTTGTGGTGCCGCTCCTCCGCCTCCCGCAGCAGGCGGTCGCTCTCCTCCTTGCACAGCTTCACCTTCATCTTGTGCTCGTACAGCAGGTGCCGCACCTTCTGCTTGTACACCTTCATCTCCACCTGGTGCGCGCGCGTCATCTCCTCCAGCTCCGCGTCGGCGTTGAGGAGGGCGTGGCGGGCGTTTTCCACGTCCTTCTTCGTCACCGACCAAAACTCGTTTACCTTGTCGCGCTCCACCTGGAAGTAGTTCCGAAGCTCCTGCGCCTTTACCAGGGCGTCGTGGATCGACTCGAGGCTGCCGAGCTCGGCGACGGGGTCACACGGGGGCGGGGCCTTCTCCGCCTTGCGGGCGCCAGCACGAGCCGCCTTTGGTGGCATCTCTACGCAGCACTAGCGACGGAGCGAAACAACAGCAACAACAACAAAAGGAAGGAATGACACGATGGCCCTCAGACGGCCACAAAACCACCACACACGCACACGGGACTTCGTTTTTTTTCTTCTCTCGCTCTTCCTGGCCGCCTTCCCACCGATGAATCACCCAGGCGAGACCGCAATAAAATAAGAAGCGATAATTTATTATTATTAAAGGCAGAGCAGGAGCAGAGTGGCATAAAACAAAAGAAAAAAAAACACACACACACGAGAGATAACGAAGGAGGGAGGAAGGGAGGCTAAGAATTCGTGGAGGCGTGTAAATAACGCCATTGCACACACACACAGAGGCATACACACATTCACAGAGAGAGAGAGAGAGATAGAGATGTAGTTAAAACGACACCAATAGTTTTGGTCCATTGTCTTTTTTTATATCTCCGCACTTGTACGAGCCATCACACAAACACCGCCTTCACCACGGCTTTGCGCTCATTGCCCTCTGCCCGCGTCCTGGGGTGGGCAGTTCGGTATGGTGTTGCCTCAGACACTATCCAAAAACTCCGCCAGCGGCTTCTCAGCTGCCATGAACCACGTCTTGCGGGTCCAATGTGCGTAGCGCATGCCAGCACGCAGACGGATCTGCAGCGCAAGAAAGTACTCGTACCGTGCAGTGTGCGCTGAGCCCACCGCATGGTTGGCTTGGGCGGCAAACTCATGCACCTGTGCCATCTGCGGGTCACACGGATCCAGCACACGATGGACACTTTTCTGCATAACATCTAGAAACTCGAGACACATCGATGCATCCTGCTCCTTCCACGCCTTTTGACACCATTCATCTATCTTATGAAAAACGATGGCATGACTGTAGTGTACGGTCGTCGCCTGCAAGAGACGCACCAACCCACTCATCTTATCCGCCTTAACGGTCGCCAGCTCCTGCTCCTCGTCAAGGCAACGGTGAACCGCATCCACGTCAGGGCGATACCCGCACTGCAGGCAAACCCACTCCTTGAGGCGACTGCCATCGCCAACGGGGCAAACAACCCCACAGTTGCGGGGACATTGCGAACAGCGGAAGGCGCGCGGCACGTCAGGCTCATCCACGCACCACCGACAACTGCACGACACTCCAAAGAGCTGCCGTGTGATTTTAGATCTTTGCGGCTGCGTCATGTAGACCGAATCAAAGAGGCTGCGAGAAATATATTCCCCGCGATCAATGTCACGGCAGGCTACGAGAACTGCCACAGATGGAAGAAAGACTCGCTCCGAACACGGAAACCCCCATGGCAGAGGCGTCTCTGCCCCCGTCTCCCGAATGAGATGTGTGCCGGTGGTATTATAGTCAAAGAACCCTGCCTCGCCCCAACAGTGCGACGCAGGTGAGTCCAAAAACATCACAAAACTATTCGGACGACACTCGTGTGGAACACGTCGAAGAAACGGAAAGAAACCACTACATTTGGGGAGGTCAGGAACATGAATGGAAACGGCATGAAGAGAGAAACCCAGCAGTAACCGCGCCAGACGGTCTGTCTTGTGCAGTCCCATTCTCCGAATAAATCCGTAATGTGGTGACACAAACCCCTTGACACCTTCCAGCGAAAGGCAACCCCCTGCCGCAGTTGGATCCTTCTGGGCACACACTAGCAATACCGGCGGAATACACCGAAGTAGCAGTGAGGCAACCCCACGCAACACGGGGAAGCGGGGGTCGGACTCCACTGGGGCAACACACCAGTCTTCAACGAACGCCTCCGCGCGTTGCGAGCGCCGCAGTGGCGTACTGGAGTTCACGGTAGTCACAGCATGAAATTTACTGCCTGTGTCCAAGCCGCTGAGAGACTTTCTTATCTCGTCCCCTCTCGGAAGCAGCTCCATGTCGCCCCGGGACAGCAACAGCGATGCAAGGAACTGGGCAAATCCAGTTTCCACAAGCGCTGGGGTGCCGTTTCGTATGTCGCGTGCATGGATTACAATCTGACGCGCGGCAGCCACTAGGTTGGGGGAGGACGCTTCAAGGGCACCTCTGCCGTTATTGCTTTGTGTACGACTCTTGCCTGCCTTGCCAGTCCTCCTACCCTTTTGTCCCCTGTAGAAGGCAGCGGAGCGGGGAAAGAAACGCCACACAAGCGGGTCCTCCACAACCCGCAACTCCGAGGCATCCATGGCGATAACCTCTCCAGCCTTAAAGCGGCGCAATGCCACAACACTGCCGCCGCGGCACGGCCAAGCGCTCCCTAAAGCCTCTTCGCTCGCCCCCGTCAAGCCGTGTCCTCCGGCGGGGGGGCACGACTTGAGTGAGTGCGCTTCCGCCCGACAAAGCGGCAGTGCATTGTCAGCGTAGTAGCGCCCTTCTTTTGCGCTGAAGATTGGCGCAGACCTCGCAACTGCTGCGGCTGCATGAGACCTGAAGTATGGATCATATGTGAGTAGGACAGGGTCGTTTGTATTGAGGTACCAACCAGGTGGAAGTGCAGGGCCATGGGGTGTATGACTCTCCACCTCCTCCTTCAGTTTCTCCAGCTCCAGGTACCGAACACGCGCCGCCCAAAGCCGCAGAGCAAATTCCTCTTCGCACTCCAGTCGCACACGCTGAGCCAGCGCGTCGCCGTCGGCGGTGAAGGAACCATGCGGGCCGTCGCCGCCAAAGATGTTAGACTGGGGCGCTGAAGCCTCGGCTGACATTCTGTTGGGTTTCACCCCCGCGCAAGCACCACAAAATAAGAAAATGGATTTAAAAAAAGAAAAAACAAAACAAAAAAGAAGAGGGGAGTTGGAGATGCGGTGGAGACGATGATGCTATTGCGTAGCAGCTCAGGTGCATCCGCAGCCGTGGCAGAGTTCACCTACAAGGTGCACAGACCTCCCAGCATATTTTCATTTGTATACAAGCAGAAGAAGGGCAGACTCAGTCATCTCTAGCACAGGCTACTGGCGTAGAATAGCAGGCCGTAACACCATGACGTGCTGCCTCGCCAATCAAACTACACTCGACTGCTTCTTTTTCTGCGTCTCCCCCTTTTTTTCCTCGTTCCTTCGCTCTTGATCTATGAATTGTTGTTCTCGCTCCAAAAGTGCCTTAATGCCACGCACCTTCTCCCGGACGTCGCGCCAGGTATCGCTTCTCGCCTTATTATCCGCCCACTGTTTAAGTTCTTCTACGCAGCCTTCAAACTCATCCTTGCGGCGCGCCGCCTCCGCCAAAACCTCGGAGGAGGAGGACAAATACGTCACCCGGGAAAGTGCTGCAGCCCGAAAACAGGCGTACGCCTCCCGCATCATTCGCATGCGATCCCCAAAGTTAAGAAGGCTTTTACATAGCTCGTCATGCTCTGGCAGCAATTTTTGCAACGACCGACACGCCTCCGTGAGCTGCGCACAACGCTCATGCAGCGGGGAAGACGTGTTACCTGTGGCCAGGAGAGAGTCATTCAGCTCTTTGAGAAATGGGCCCACCTGCAAACTAAAACTGCCGTGCTCCTCCACATTTTCCTCTAATAGAGTCTGTGCATGCACTTCAAAGAGTGTGTGTCGCAGTTTCTCCAAAGCCTTCACCTGCAGATGCAGCCAAGTCTCGTTTGCCTCCAGCAGTCTCTCCTGTACGACCCCGCTATCCAAAAAGGGTTCCGCCGACTCCAGGAAAAGACTATGGTTAGTCGACATCGTTTTGTAGTGCTCCAGCAGCGATGCGCAGAACTCTTGAACGTGGTCCGGATCACGCAGGGCATCAAGGTTTACCTCCTGCTGGCGGCACCAGACAACGAGACGACGCTGTTGCCCCTCCATCTGCCTCAACGCCGCATCCCGCCTTTCCTGAGACCGCTGCAGCTCCACCGCACAGCCGACGGCACGCCTTCCTAAAGCCACCACCCCGTCAAGGAGGCCCCGCGCAGCAGTCATGGAAGTGTCCTGCAACGTCGCGCCGACTTCCCCAGCCTCGCGCTCCAACGTCGCCCAAGCTGCGCCAAGTTCACGCTCCTTCTCCGCCCACGTATTCCCGCTCACGACACCACACCATGTGAGAAGAGGCGTAACGCCTCCCTCCAACGGACGGGGATGCGAGAGGAGACCTTGCAGGGCCCCTTGCAAGGCCGTCAGCCTCGCCACAAAGTCACCCAGGCGCGTTGCAAAGGTCGCGTACGCCTCCACGGAGGCATGCGTCGGGGCAGGAAGCGAGTGGCCGCTGGCGTCACGGCCTTCTGCCATTTGTGTGAGCATCAGCAGCCCCGCCTCCAGCTCCGCCACTTCTTCTTCAATGTCGTCAGCCTCTCGCTCCTCGTCGGCCTGAAGAACATCCAACTCGCGGCTCACTGTCTCTGTATGCGACAAAAAAGAATCATGCAATGCACGGAGGGCATCCACCTTGACGTCACGCTCCTCGCCATCCTCCCCCAACTGCAGCAGCCGTTCGTATTGGGCCTTGAGACTAGAGGCCGACGCGTCAAACGCGTCGAGAACGAGTTCCATCAGCGGCACACACACACACACACGAAGGGCCTTGTCTTCCTGCTCGGTCTTTTTTCCCTCTTTACCTCACGAGCACACACGCATGTGTGTGTAAAAAAAAAAGAAGAATGAGACACGTCTACCGTCGTCGACAAGAGCGCGCCAGTGAAGAAGAGGGTGCGTGCTCTCGCGGCGGAGCGGCATGGGTGTGACCCCACGCCCCCGCACACAAGTCCCACTGCCTCTCCTTCACCATCCAAAGAGGGGGGAAAAAAAGGGCGGCGATACCTGCAGACAAGAAAAAAATCATCAATGAAACGAAATAACAAAAAGAAAAACAAAGTTGATAAATGAAGCCCTTTCCGAGGCACATCGTCGTGTTGCCCTTACTACACGCAAGGAACTCAGGCCCGAAACAAAACAGTCTAGATCCCGCCATGCTCTTTACTTGAGCTCGCGAAGGCGGCGAACCGTGGAACGGACAGTGCTGTTGTTCGGGGTGCTCAGCGTGTAGGCGCCACCCGCCATCGTCTTGCTGCAGCCGTCGCAGCGCCAAATTCCCACAGCCTTACGGCGGAAGGCGAACTTGCCGCAGAAGGAGCAGAAGTGCTTCGCGTGCTGCGACACCTCGAGCTTCTTGGCGCGCTTACGGGGGTTGGCACCATAGCGAGCGCCATAGCGTCCCATGACGCCCATCTTAACGGTGCGCTTTGCCATCGCTCTGTCTCCGCAGTCGGCCCCTCAACTTGGCTTCTAACGGTATTGCGCGCGTGTGATTGTGTGCGTTGGTTGTAAGTGCAAGACCGGCAACAACAACGGGCGCAGCCCACAAAGAGAAAAAAAAGAAAGGGAAGAGGGCGAAGTTGCACAGATAGAAAAAGAAGGAAAGAGAGGGAGAGAGAAAGAGCGGCCAGCGCGGCAAGCGGAGTCGGGGCCGAGTACGCAAAGGAAAAGAAATGCAGCAAGCATAACAAAAACAAGCGACCACCATATTTTTTGTGTTATTGTCGAGTCCCACGTGCCTCTTCCCCCGGTGACGGCCCACGCACACTGTTAAAAGGGCACTACCCAACACAAGCGGGCGTGCGAGACGGAAACTCCCCGGCTCTTCCGCGGCGTTGCGCAGCCGGTGAGGCATTCCACCCGTACTCAGACACACAAGAAAGCAAACAGGGGCACCGCGAAACAGCTCTACAAGAAGCAGAAAACGCAATGGAGCAAGTGTGCAAATGCGGAACAACAACGACAAAATAAAAAAAAAAGAGGGGAGGGGGGAGGGGTAAACAAACGCTACTAACAACACCCCTCACCCGCAGAGAGGAGGACACGTGGGGGACACCAAAAATAAAGCAAATTTCACACTCGCGTTCATCACGAAGAGTATGTTGCCTGGACAAGGCTTTGTCGCTGCTTCCTGTACAGAAATAACAATAGCAGTGGGAAATAACAGCTTGTCTCAATTTGACCAGCCTTCTCTACCCTCAAAAAATCCAACCAACACGCGCAGACTATTTTTTTTTAAATGTGTGGAAACAGCCCATGGCATGATAACACAAAGCCCGGGATCCGCCCACGGAGTGGCAGTCGTTAGGGGCCCGCAACCGCCGCCCCCCTCCGCGCGGGGAGTAGCGGGGGCAGAAGGAACTGCACACGTTGCCCTTCAGCGCGGTCTCCCTCAGAAGGGAGATCAAGTCATAGACCAAGAGTGCAGATCAACAACGAAACGCGCCCTCTCACTCAG